CATCCTCCGCAAGGCGGGGGAGGTGGCATGGGGCAGCCATCTCGATCTCGTCTCCAGTGTCCCCACGGCTGCGGGCAGCCGTCTTCACTGCTATTATTCGCTGGCTGTCGGCAGTTCTCTCCTGTGCAGTTCTGTGGTGCCCGGTGGCGGTTGCACCCTCCGCAAGGCGGCGGCGGTGGCATGGGGCGGCCATCTCGATCTCCGCTCCATGGCTCCGGTGGGCAGCCATCTCCAGCGCAGTTCTTCGGTGGCTGTGGGCAGTTCTCTCCTGTGCAGTTGCTCGGAGGCTGGTGGCGGTTACGTCCTCCGCAAGGCGGAGGCGGAGGCGGTGGCATGGGGCAGCCATCTCGATCTGCGCTCCAGCGGCTCCATGGCTCAGGCGGGCAGCCAACTCCAGTGCAATTCTTCGGTGGCTGTGGGCAGTTCTCTCCTCTGCAGTTGCTCGGTGTCTGGTGGTGGTTGTGTCCTCCGCAAGGCAGCGGCGGTGGCATGGAGCCGTTAGCTCCACCGCCTGTGCGCGGCTCTGGCGGCTTGGGGCAATCGTCTCCGGTGCAATTTCTCGGTGGCTTGCGGCAGCTGTCTCCTGTGCAGTTCCTCCGTTGCCTGGGACAATTATCACCAGTGCAATTCCTCCATGGCTTGGTGCAGTTTCCCCGTGTGCACGACTCCGGCGGCTTGGAGCAGTCTGCATCGTCGCCGCCATAGCCGTTATGACTGCAGTCCTTGAGCTGCCTCGTTGCCGGCGATGGACGTCCATACACACCGGCCAACAGGGCCAGCAGGACAAGGCAAACTAGACCGACGCTGAACAGCGCACTGACACGTTGGCCAACTTGGCCAGCAGCCATGGTCATCGGCTGTCACTGATCTCCAAATCGCTTGAGATGGAGCTGGATGTGGCAGTGGCAATGGAAAACCGAGAGAGGGGCTTCGCCTCTCGTGCACGACCCAAATTCGGGGAGCTGTTACAGTGTCTCTCTCTTCTGCAGCCACTGCCGTGAAGCAGCAGGGGGAGATGGTCCAAAGGGGGAAGTGAGGGAGCTTGGAGAGGAGAAAGAGAGCGGAGGAGGACGATGCGAAGCTGTTTTAGGAAAGGTCGAACGCAGTTGATGTATGAATGAATGAAAGGATGGATGGCCTGTCGTCCCACGCAGGCCAATATTTATATGTAGACGCAGCTGATGTACGCTCAGCGATCGCATTTCGTTTCGACTGTTGGCCTCGCCGCACCGCAAGCCAAACCCCAACATGTTGAACGTATCTGAACCTGGCCGTTGTCCCTGTACATTCACAATGTTGGCGTTTGGCAAGCGGTGCGGGGAGCCCCTGTGCCATTGCTTTTTTTTTTTACTTCGCCAGCCTGCCAGTGCAAGTCGCAATTACTCACGAGTTTTGTGTAACGTGCCACGTCCATCTGGGCGAGCGCAGCACGCATAGAATTCGACCTACTATGACCTGGCATACTGATGTGGCACATCGCTGAAGCCACTGAAGTGCCAAACATACCATGTCTGCTGACTCCGTATTTGCTGCAAGCCTGCAACTGTGGCACATCGCTGAAGCCACTGAAGTGCCAAACGCGAGGCAATATAGTGCGTAAAATTCCAAACGTTGCACTGTGATTGAGTGCATAGCTGCATACCAAGATGGTTGTTATGCATAGCAAGATGCATAGCTAGATGTACAGCAAGATGCATAGGTAGATGCATAGCAAGATGCATAACAAGATGCATAGGTAGACGCACAGCTAGATGCATAGCAGGAGCGTAGCAGTTGCATTGCTAAATGCACTGTGATTAAATGGATAGCAAGATGGATAGTAAGATGCATATCGACAAGCATAGGACGAGAAATAGCAAGAAGTATAGCACCATGCATAGCAAGATGCATAGCAAGTTGCATAGCAAGAAGTTTAGCACCATCCATGCATAGCAAGATGCACAGCAAGATGCATAGCAAGATGCAAGACGCTAGCCAATGTAGTTTACCGGCGCGGTGCGCACGAGTTCGAATCCGTTCCATGCATAGCAAGATGCAAGCACAGTGGAGTACCGAAGTTGTGACACGTCGGACACAGAACGGAGCTTGTCGCACACGCGGTCGCACGTAACGATCGGGACTCCTTCGCAGAAGAACACTATGGGCACCCGTGTTTTTTTTTTTTTTTTTTTAGCCACATGCTGACACACTCGAACATCGCGGGATGTATCTTGACGGCCATGAAGGTCACGGTCAGTCTATTATTCCCTGGTGTCAATTTTTGCCGATCGAGCAACCACCGACACAAGCGGTGGCACCAACGCAAGTTTTTTCCGGACCGTAGGAAGCAAACCACATTGCAATTTTTTTTTATTTTTTTTTTTACATTGCAAAAAAAAAAAAAAAGCCGTGTGTGCTTCTTGGGGGGAAAACGACATCGAATTTAAAAAAAAAAATCAATACGCATAGCAGAATGCTGGCGCGAACGTAAAGTTTTCCAACGTCAGAAAAACAAAAAAGAAAAAGACTTAAGGGCCCTAAAAAAAAAAACATCCGCAAAATTTGACCTCGTAGCAAGCATAAGTGTGGTGATCCTGACGGACCTTACCTTAGGGCATTCTCATACTAATGACTTATCTGGGCGCAGGTGCGATCAAGAACATCCACGGAGAGTCGTAAATGTGGCCAAATACATCCAGGAATGTACTAAGAGCCTCGTTCGAAACCACTTGAAAATACTTGCGTTTCAAGTTCACACTAGAACCAGAAATTGTCATTCATTTACAGACACTACCTCGATTTATGGTTCCATGTACACTAGAGGAAACCCTTCAACAGCCTGCACACTTGAAACCGAACTGTGTGATATATTTTTTTCTTCTTCTTTTTCTTTTTTCTTTTCTTTTTTTTTTCTTTTTTTTTTCAAAGGGCGACGGCCTTGAGATATTATCATTGAGCTGACCGGCCCCAGGCAATTCATTAGTAGTTGGTTTTCACTCATCAAGTTCCATCATCTGAATTCGAACAGAGCACCTGGTCTGTATTTCAACAGTTCATGGGTGTACCCACTGAGCTAGGCTCTTGGGTTCTTGTTATTTCTCATTTCTTTTGCTTGTGTGGTTAAAAATGTTATTTCTTTCTTATTTCTAACCTCACATGCAAAAGAAAAAAGAAATAAGGAATAACAATGGACCATTTCTTGATTTACGCGTGTCATCCTTGCTCAAGCGCCATGGCATGCCAATCTTCTTTGCTTCGTTCTAATTTTAACGGGAAAGACAAACAAAGAGCTACAGGGGACAACTGAAAAGGAAAGACACTCACGACATGTCATAATATGACGCACGCAGCTTTCTTCACAGCAGGGCAAGACTCCCGGTGGGCCCCACCCTCCGCAGCATACAGAAATGCACAACCCATTTGTGTGGAACACCCAGGGTGCGTATGAAGCATCGGGTCAGCCAACCTCCTTTTGCAGCTTACTGAACACATGGAATGAGCTGTTCTTCTGTTTGGTAATGGGACCACCACAAACGCAAGAATATGCAATGCTTCTTTTCTTTTGTTTAAGTTTGGCGTCAACTTTGGGCTACACCGTATTCGCTACTATTCGGCATCAGCCTGTGGAAGCATGAAATCGTGGCCAAAACTGCCTCAAAAGAATCTCCTTTTCCACGCAGAAATATCCGTGCATGTATACATAGCTCCGGATCCTCTCTCTCTCTCTCTCTCTCTCTCTCTCTCTCTCTCTCTCTCTCTCTCTCTCTCTCTCTCTCTCTCTCTCTCTCTCTCTCTCTCTCNTCTCTCTCTCTCTCTCTCTCTCTCTCTCTCTCTCTCTCTCTCTCTCTCTCTCTCTCTCTCTCTCTCTCTCTCTCACACACACACACACACAGGTTCTTTTGTGTTCTGTATACGAGCATGTACACATATACACACACAAACACACAGAGCTTTCTTTGTGGAGTTGTGTATGGTGAGCATGACAGCGTGCAGAACGGCCTTGCTAAGCTCTCCGTTTAGGTGGATAGACAGGGCAAGGATCAGAACCGTACTAGCGGTCATCCCAGTGGAGACCCGTGGTGCACACACACACACACACACACACACACACACACACACACACACGAAAAAAAAAAAAAAAAAAAAAAAAAAAAACCAGACAGAGAGCTTTAGTTGTGGACTTGTGTGAAGTGAGCATGATAACGTGCAGAACGGCCTCGCTAAGCTCCCCGTTCAGGTGGATAGATAGGGTATGCCAGTGGAGACCCTTGGGTGAGTGGGTATAGGGCAGGCTCTGTGACTGTGACAGACTAGTTTCTCAGACTTACTGCCATTCTTGTCAGGGTTTTGGATCGACATACTGCTAGGATTACACGGCTGCCGTGAGTACAGTGGCCAGTTTTCTCAGGGCTATCACCGTATCAATAACTCTGGGCGATGTGGTGAATCACTGAATCCTTATCCATCAGTCAAATGGATAGTGTGTATAGCGAACACTACAACATGCACACACATGCAGGAGGGCACGCATGCATGGACGTACACACTTTTTGTCCGTGTTAGTGTAGCTGATTTCTTCTCTTTTCTTTTTTCGGACATTGCAGTGCACATGTGGATGTGGAGGATCACCTCTAGTAACTCTAGTTTGCATCAAGCTTTTCCACCGCCCAGAAATTGGTGAATGACCGTGAATCAATGACAGTAAATGCTGTTCGAAACAGTGAAGCCACAACACTCAGGATACTGGTGCAAGAAAGAGAGATGTGTGGGACCTGTCACCTGTGGTCGCCCACGTGTGGTGCCACACTCATACTGCGCCCGAGTTACCCGAGTGTGTGTAGAAGTTGCAGTTTCATGCACAAAGTGCCAATCGATTTCACTATTATTTGCTAGAAGATAGAATAGCAGCAATAGCTGAAATCATGTCAAATGCAGTCTATGGTCTTGCACAACTTTAGCTTTTGGCACTTTGTGCATGAAACCTAAATTTGCAGGTTGAGTGTGCATTGATCTGAACTTCTCAAGTATCACAGCTGCATAGTCAGAGGTTCTCTCTCTCTCTCTCTCTCTCTCTCTCTCTCTCTCTCTCTCTCTCTCTCTCTCTCTCTCTCTCTCT